TTTATTTATTTATTATTTTAATTTTATGTGTATGCATGTATTGGCTGCATGTGTGTTAAGTGCACTCATGTTGTGCAATGCCCACAGAGGTCAGAAGAGTGTGTTGGATTCCCCAAAACTGGCGTTATGGATGGTTGTTATCTACCATGTGGGTGCTGAAAACTGAAGTTAGGTCCTCTGCAAGAGCAGCCAGTGCTCTTAACCGCTGAGCCATCTCTCCAGCCCCCAGGTACCACTCCTTACTGAGGCACTATTGGCATTTAATAGCTGCTGGGGAGGGAGATTTATTCTTCTTCGAGGGTGCGACCATTGGTAGGTTTCCACGCTCCAGTGGAGGGCCCCACACCCACCCACATGTGGGCAGCAGTAACTGGACTTAGTGGGCTATAAAGAAAAGACATGAAGTATGGAGGGGACATGCTGGGAGGATACAGGAGAAGCTGGAGGGAAATGAGGGATGAATGTGATTCCATTTCATTGTATACATGCAAGAAATGATGAAAGAATAGAAATTTTTAACAAAACAATGCTTTAAATAAGTGGTGACAAAGGAAGTAGAAAACAGGCATGGTGCCTCAGACCTGCCATCTCAGTCCTGGAAGCTGAGGGATGAAGACTGTCTCTAGCTCGAGGCCAGCCTGTACTACATAGTGAATTCTAGGTCAGTCTTAGCTACAGAGAAAACAAGAAAGGAAAGGAAGTAGGGAAGCAAGCTGGCTGCAGGGGCTGTGAGATGCAGTGATGCGGCTTGTGGGGTGCAGGGCAGAGGAATTGGGAAGTAGAAGGGAATTGAGACTGTGGGATGGGGAGAGATGGGGGCAGGGCAAAGTGAGAGAGCTGCTTTAGGGAGGGAGAGACAATCTGCAGTTGGTGGGGTAGCTCAGATTCTGGACTAGATGGGCTAACCTAGACTCAATTCTGTTTCTGCACCTGCCAGCTGTCTCTCATCCTACCTTACGGTGTCCTCTAAGCCAGAGGATTGTTTACAGGGGAAAAATGCCAGGTCATGTGACCATATTATGAGACATTCGGCATTACTAGGAATTGGAGAAATGAAAATTGCAGAGCTGGGTGTGGTAATCCTGTATTTGAGAGGTCCAGACAGGAGGATGAGGAATTTAAGGTTACCTTTGGCTACTTAGCACATTCAGGACCAGCTTACTACATGAGGCCTTGCTCAAAACACTAACAACAACAGCAGCAGCAGCAACAACAAAACACCCTAAAATTGCAGGAGCAATGTGATATTACTTCACATCCACCTGTAAGGTTGCATGGTGTCCTCCCAAAACTCGTACCTTGAAAGCCTAATCCTTAGTACTACAGAATGTAACCTTATTTGGAAACAGGCCTGCTGAAGATGTAACTTGTTAAGATTTAGTGACACTGGAATGTTGTGGATGCCTAATCTGGTATGACTGGTGGCATTATGGGAAGAGGATGTTTGGATGCAGACACATAAACACACACACTGCACTGTACACACATTCACACACACCACACACAGAGAGACACACAGACTTTCACACCACATACACACATGCACACACATCACACATACCATATACATCACACATAAACACTACACATACCACATACACACACACATACAACACACACAGACCACACACATCACATATACCACATAAACAAATGCACACACACCACATACATCATATACATACATGCACAGGACCACACACTACACACGCACTATATAAATACCACATAACATATGCACCCACACCACACACACCATACACACTTATACACACTACACACAGAGACACACAAACACTACACATACACCACACACATACATACACTACACACACAGAGACGCATAGACACATATACTCCCCACAGAGACTCATACAGACACCCACACCACATACACACATGCACACACATCAGACACACACCACACACATACCACATACCACACACAAATTCACACCCACCACACCCACTACACACAGCACCTACACATGAACAGACACCATGCACCACATATACCACATACACATATGCATGCCCACCACACACATCACATACACTTATGCACACACACCACACACATACTCACACGTGTACACATGCACAGACACACAAACACTACACATACACATACCATACACATACATGCACATGAGTTTGCAAGCACGTGCCCAGAGGACAGCATCGGACAATGAAGGTAGACACTGGGCTGACACAGCCATAAGCACAGTAGTACCCAGGACTTCCAGTAATCAGACTAAACCATAAAAGCACCTGGAACAGATTCTCCTTCAGCCTCAGAGGGGGCTGAACTTTGATTTCAGACTTCTAGCCCCCATTGCTGGGGGCTTTGTTCATCCAGTGTGTGGCACAGGTCACAGACTGACAGGCTGTCAGATTGGCGATGCTCAGAAGGTTGGACGGTTCCAGGTTTGGGGTATACAACAGAGGTACAGACCCTAATTCTGCTGGGAGAAAGAAGCTTATGCCAATTCCTTTATTAATTTATTCAATTATTTATTCTTATTTATTATTTAATTGTTTGTGTGTGTATTAAGTGTGTGCATGTCCTAAGGTTGCACGTGTGATGGTTAGGGGACAACTTTGGAGTTGGTTTTCTCTCCACCTTTACGTGGGTTCTGGAGCTCAAACTCAGATTGCCAGGCTCTCATGGCCTTTACTCACTGAGTCACCTCACTAGCCCTGTGTCAATTCTTTTTTAAATTTAAAATTACGTTTATTTATTTTATATGTCTATGCTAGTGTGTGTGTGTGTGTGTGTGTGTGTGTGTTTGCCCGCCATGTATGTGAAGGTCAGAGAACAACTTGTGAGAACTGGTTCTCTCCTTCCACTATGTGGGTGCCAAGGATTGAATTCAGGTCATCAGGCTTGGCAGTGAGCACCTTTACCCTCTGTGATGGTTGGTTTTAATGTCAACATGCCACAAATTAGAATCATATGGGTAGGAAGTGGAAGCCTTAACTGAGGAGCTGTCATAATTGCCTTAACTGATGTAGGAAGACCCACCCCAAATGTGGGCAGTGCCTCTGGTAGCCCAGATTAAAAGGGCAAGTCTGGAGGCAGGTTATTTGTCTTTAGCTTGTTTGACCTTCCCTCACCTCCGAGGTGACTTATCCAGTTCCTGTGCCAAGACTCCTTTGCCCTCCAGGTTTTTAGTGCTAGATTGGGGCTGCTGAGGTACTCGGCCTTAAGGACAGAGCAACTATGAGGGTCTCAGCATCTATGGTGTGATCCAGCTGTTTTTCCAATAAGCTGAATGATAAATTTATATGTATTCGTTCTATCAGCTCTGTTCTACAGAACCCTGACCAATGCATGCAGTCATCTTTCCAGCCCCTGTGTGTCAATTCTTCTTAGAAAGTGTTTTATTTATTATTTTTATGTGATGTCTGTATGTATGTAAGTGCACCAATGTTGTGCAATGCCCTTGGAGGTCAGAAGAGGAACTGGAGTTATGGATGGTTGTTAGCTGCCATGTGGGTTCTGGGAATTGAACCCAGATCTTCAGTAAGAATAGCCAGTGCTTTTAATCTCTGAGCCATCTCTCCCCTTTTTTTTTTTTTTGGTCTTTTTGAGACAGGGGTCAGTCTCCCAGTAGCCCCAGCTGGCCTGGAACTCATTATGCAAACCAGGCTGGGCTTGAACTCACAAAGATCCACCTGGCTCTAATTCCCAAGTGCTGGGATTAAAGGTGTGTACCACCATGCCTGGCTATTCAGCCCCAATTAAAAAAATATTTTATTTATTATTATTTTTATCATTTAAAAAATTTTAAATAACTACATGATTAGAAGAAGCATTTCACTACAGCTTTAACATATTCAGTAACACTAGGTTCACAGTTGAGTTAATACAGTTACACAATATTGAATTCAGTATAAGCCCTGTAAGGCATAAAATTGAATGAGTTTTTTAACCTTTAAAAAAGATCTCCATTTCATTTTAGAATATATTGTTCCTTGCAGAAAGACTCATTTTAAAAATATTTTATTATTTTTATTTTCTGTGTATGGGTATATTGCCTGCATGTATGTGAGTGCACCCGTGTTGTGCAATGCCATGGAGGTCAGAAAAGGGCTTTGGATTCCCCAGGAACTGGAGTTAAGGATGGTTTCTAGCCACCATGTGGGTGCTGGAAATTGAACCCGGGTCCTCTGCAAGAGCAGTCAGTGCTCTTAACCACTGAGCCATCTCTTTTTATGTATTAATTCTTGAATAAAATTTTGCAAGCAAATGAAGGAGATCCAAGTTCAGATCTGATAATTCCTTCCTGAGGATATACAATTGTGTGTTGCACACTGATGTGATCGTTCAGTCAGCCATGGATTGAACACACATGCAATGGTGGTCTGATAAGGTTATAATGGAGCTGAGACTTTTTAAAATAAATTTTTAATTGAATTTTTGTGTATTTCATACACCATAAAGAAAGAAGAGGCAACTGGGTAACAGTCTCCATCTGCTGCAAAAGGAAGCTTCTTTGGTGAGTGGTGACCGGTATACTTGTCTGTAAATATAAGGATCCATATTTAGCATACAGTAAGAAATTCTGTTTACAGGGTTCCACAGCTGGTCACACACAGAGAATAAGTACCTGTGAGCTCCTCAGTTAGGGGTGGGACAGTTTTCATTTAAGTAATTACAATCATCCTAGTAGGTGTGCGGTGAGACCTCATTTGCATTTCCTCAGTGACTGTCAGGGAATTTGTGGGAGTCTAGGACACAGGTCACACCCCAGCAGGCAAATAGATGATGCCACCACCCAGCTGTCAAGAGGAGATATGTGAGGCCCTCAGAGCCTGGATGCAAGTCATCCCACTGCGGAGATAGCTCTGACTTAAGGCGTCTCAATTAGGAAAAGGTGGGGCTTTCAGAGGAAGGGAGCAGGGTGTTCTCCATCCGCATCATGTCCAGTGCCTGTCCTTTAGACTTCCACGACTTCCCTGCTTGGCCACAGAACTCAGGACAGGACTGCAGAACCATGTCTCCAGCTCCACCTGCTCTCTTCTGCTTGGGTAAGTCCTGAGGGTTGAACTGGGAAACTCCATAGCCGCAGGCACCACAGACCAAGGAATTAAAAACCTTTCATCAGTGGTCAATCTCAGGGCCAGAAGGGGATCCATGAGGTTCCATTTATTGGAAGGGAAAATAGGGGCTCCAAAGAGGTGGCATGTTTGGTCTGAGTTGTTTCGATTTATTTTGGCTTGGCCAGGACACACACTCAGGTGTTTTAGGATTGGCCACGTTGTTTTCCCTCTATACCAGGGCAGAATTTTTTTTTTCTTTAAATAATTTTTTGAGAATTTCATAATGTGTATAAGGTGTTTTGATCAAATCTATGCCCACTCCCCCCTCCTCCTGCTCCTCCCATATCTCCCCATAGCATTTTTCTGATAACTTCATGTACTCTTTCTTCTTTTATTTTTTTAATGGGGCTTTTGACTACTCTAACATTCCCCCCTCTGAAGAGGTAACCCTAAAATAGTTTAAGGATTAGCTAAAAGCTCCCAAATACTTTAGACATTTTTGGCTTTTGGAATGGAGTACATTGCTAAGAGGCCAGAGGACATTGTGAGTTTAGCTAAGAAACTGGCTACTTTTCTTTGGAGTCTTTTTACCCTAACTGCCTAGCCAGTTCCTACCTCCTATTCTTATCACACCATCCTCTGAAGAGGTTACCCAACTTGCAGATAGGGAATCAGGATGCAGACTGCTCTGACTTCTTCCATGCTGAACAGGGACACAGGGTGAGGCAATTGAAGTACCCCTTCAGTGGGTCTATGGAAAATACTCCCAGATTGCTTAACTCTTATCTCTGGGGGGAAAAGAAAGTCTTTGAATTGTGAATATGAGATGTGAAGGAGGAGTAAAGACAAGAATAATTAGCATTACAAGTTCTAGACAGGGAAATAGAAAAAAGTCAGAACAGGGAAATTTTCAAAAGTTCATATGAAAGTCCATTGGAATTTTTTGACAAGGGCTTCCAAAAGCATCCCTCTGTTGGGTTCCTCCTCATTTTTCTTTTGTCTGCCAAGGCTGGACTCGAGAGTGATGGGTTCAGGATTTGCTTTCAGGTGTTTTGATAGCTGTTGGACTGGTTAGAATTAGCATCAGTTCCCTCTCAAAGGCTTCGAGATGGGGGGAGAAAACAAATTTATCCATCATTTTAGAACAATAATGGGTTGTCTCCCTTAGCTACAGGTGGGCACTACAGCTGCCATGTGGGTGCTGGGAATCAAACCCAGGTCCTCTGCAAGAGCAGTCAGTGCTCTTAACCGCTGAGCCATCTCTCCATCCCGTAAATAATAATTTTTTATATGGACTTAAGCCTAATGTCTGGGAAGTGTAATCCCTTGAACTCTTAAAGAATTATACTGATGACTTTACTGTTTGTTTATACTTTCCTTTTGGGTGTTTAAGACCATACAGTTGGCCCAAATAAATCAATTTATTTTTACACTTAAGGTTGTGTGAGGCTCTGTTCCTCAGAGGTCACATGGGCTTGAGAGGAGCCTCTGGCTTCTTTCTTTTACCAGTTCCATCTATGTGAAGATAAGTCAAAGGTCCTACTCCACCATACTGGCTTCTCTTGGAAGCATAGAGGAGATATTTCCTCTGAGTTGACCCTCCTCTTTGTAGACTGGACACTGGTTCAAGTCCATCTGGTGAGGTCTCCATGGCCTCCCTGAATATGAGGACAGGTGACTCAGCACAGTTACAGGACACTTTGAGAGATGTTCCATAGTCCCCTGGAACTTAGTCAACCTTGGAGGGTAAGGGTCAAAAATTGTCCTTTAAGTCCCTCTGACCAGATTAGTATAGGCCTCAAAGTATGGTTATTAAACATCCAATAAGGTTGGTTCCACCAGTTTGATACTTTTAATTACCATGTGCTATGTAGATAAAGCTTGATTAAAAAACCAAATATTGGGACAGGTGTGGTGGCACACACCTTTAATCCCAGCACTTGGGAGGCAGAGGCAGGCGGATCTTTGTGAGTTCAAGGCCAGCCTGGTCTACATAGTGAGTTACAGGAGAACTGGGGCTACAAGGAGACCCTGTCTCAAAAAGACAAAACCCCCCCAAATATTCTCAGATAAACCTTGACTAGTTATATATTTTGTTCATTAAACTAGTTCACTAAACTATGATCTTAGAAACGTTAAGGTTATGTATATATTATATATCATAACAAACCTACACAGACATTCATTACTTGCTTAGGCTTTCTCTTTTTCTATTTTGAAAAATATCTCCATTCCCATATCCTTTTAATGTCTTTTACATTCTCATTTTCTTTCTTTTTTTAAAATAATTGTGAGACATAATAGCACTAACAAATTTTCCATCTGTTATGAGAATTCTTTTCCTGGGGGTACTGAGTGATGCTTATTCCCTTTTAAGGTTCTGGTGTCAAGCCAAAGTATGATTAAAGTTTGACTGGGGAACCAATGAATTTACTGAGCTTACTTACAGAGATAACTAAGGGGTTGTGGAGGTGTATGTATGACCTGAGGGTATGCACAGTATGCACACTGGAAAGCCTTTACCCAGCATGGGTCATCCCTTCTCTTCCTATCCTTCCCCAGACTGTATACTTTATCCCTCCCTAAATCCAGGAGGCCATGTGTGATTAGGCCAAATTATATACAGTTGGCTGGGAAGAGTGGCTGGATACTCCAGTGAGGGTTCAGTGACCCTGCTTGGCCCTCCTTTAATGAATGAGTACAACTGTCAACAAGCCCAATTGTGACTATGTTTAGCCATCAGGCACAGCTGAAGTCGTGATGATGGTAGTTATTTCATGCAGAAGAGACTCTGGTACAGCATTATCTTATTAAATGGACATGGAATTTAAAAGGATTTGATGCTAGGATCCACATATGAGGGAGAACATATGTTATTTTTCTGAGTCTGTGTTACTTCACTTAGTATAACAGTTTCTAGAACCATCCATTTACCTGCAAATTTCATTATTTCATCTTCTTTACTGCTGAATAGAACTCCATTGTGTAAATATACCACATTTTTGTTAACCACTTGTCAGTTGAGGGGCACTGAGGTTGCTTCCATCTCTTAGCTATTGTGAAAAAAGCAGCAACAAACATGGTTGTACAAGTGTCTCTACAATAGTGTCTCTATAATATACCTTTGGGTACATGCCAAGGAGAAGTATAACCCAATCATATAATACGTTCATTTTTAGTTTCCATGCCTTTAATTCCAGCACTTGGGAGGCAGAGGCAGGCAGATCTTTGTGAGTTCGAGGCAAGCCTGGTCTACATAGTGAATTCCAGGACAGCCAGGGCTACATTGAGACCCTGTCTCAAAAAGACAAAAGAAAAAAAAAAAGAAAAAGAAAAAGAAAAAAGGTTCTCCATACTGTTTTTCATAGAGGCTGCACGAGTTTGCAACCCCACCAGCAGTGAATGAGCGTTCCCCTTTCTCCACATTCTTGCCAGCATTTGGTATCATTTGTTCTCTGATCCTAGCCAGTCTGCTTGGGGTAAGGTGATACCTCAGGGTGGTTTTAATTTGCATTTACTTAATTACTAACGATGTTGAACACTTATTGAGATGTTTCTTAGCCATCTTTATTTCTTCCTTTGAGAACTCTCTGTTTAGATCTTTAGCCCATCTTTTAATTGGGTCATTTGGTTTCTCAATTCTTTGTTTTTTGGGTTCTTTCTTTTTCTGGATGTTAAACCTCTGTCAGATGCATCACTCGTGAAGATTTTTTTCCCATTCTGTGAGTTTTCTCTTCACTTTTTTGATTGTTTCTTTTGCTGTACAGAAGCTTTTTCATTTAATGAGGTCCCACTTGTTGATTGCCGACCTTAATTCCTGAGCAAGTTCTGTCCAATTTAGAAAATCCTTTCCTACACATGTATCTTGTAAGTTACTGCCAATATTTTCTTCTAATTGTTTCAGGGGTTCCAGTTTCATATTGAGGTCTTTGATCCATTTGGAGTTGACTTTTGTGCAAGGCAAAGATAAGGATCTAGTTTCATTCTTCTACAGGTGGAGATCCAGTTTTGCCAGCACCATTTGTTGAAGATGCAAATACTTCATTGTGTGTTCTTTGTACCTTTGTCAAATATCAAGGGGCTGAAATAGTATGTACTCGGGTTTGGGTCTTCAGTGATGTTCCATTTATCTCTGTGTCTATTTTTGTTCCAGCACCATGCTGTTTTTATGACTATAGCTCTGTAGTATACTATGAGATCTGGTATAGTAATCCCCTCAGCATTGTTCTTTGTGCTCAGGGTTGCTTTGGCTATCCAGGGTCTTTTGTCCTTCCACATGAATTTAAGGATTTTTTTCTAGTTCTGTGAAGTATGTTATGAGGATTTTGATTGGGAGTGCATTGAATCTATATATTGCTTTTGATAGGATGGTCATTTTCACAATTAATTCTCCCAATCCATGAGCATGGGGGGGTGTCCCTCTGTCTCCTGGTGTCTTCCTCAATCTCTTTCTTTAAAGAATACAGTAATATATATTGGTGTTGGTTGTAGGCACAATGCTGTACAATAAATCTCTTTAACTTATTCTTGTCTAACTGAAATATCTCATCCTTTGACCAGTGTCTCCCCAGCTCCTCCTCAACCTCATCTCCTGTAACCACCATTCTACTGACTCCCCAAGTCTGTCTCTGACTCCCCAAGTCCATGGTCTTTACCATTTACCTGTGCTTCCAGTGTTTGAATCTGTTTATGACTAGAGATGAGACCATGGGTGAGATACTGTAACCTGGATACAAAATGGGGTGATGGTGTCTGAGAGTCTGGAAACTCTGATCCTCAACTCCACTAAGGATGGCAATATTCAGTGTCTAAAACTAATGAATCAACACACAGCTGTATAAATAGAGTCCAAAAAATTATACAGATCTAAGCTGAGTTTTTGTCTGATTTAATTTGCATGGGTTTTGTATCAAGACTTCAGGTTTGCTTTGCTCAGAGGGGAATCTTGCTTCTGGGGTAGAGAGACTGGATTGGCAACAGAGAACAACTCTGGGACTTGTGCTTTCCTTTACACAAGCCATTTATTACAAAATTCAGAAGGTTTGTATATATTACAAGGAACTGGCAGTCATGTGGGTTTTGGCAGTCACATACAGAGACTTAGGGCACACAGAAACAGGACACAAAGCCTTTTAGGTGGCACCAGAAGGATGCTTAAACTTTCACTCAAAGTTACCAATGCCTATCTGGTAGTTTATTGGCCACAATGTTTTGTTTCTTAGGGCTAAAATCTTGGTAAACTTTTAGCTTTTAGCTAAGGGGTAACCTTTCATCTGGCTTAATTGCTTAGCTAATGATAGCTGAGTTATTTGTTCAGGACAGGGAGATGAGCTGAGGGCTGTTGACCAAGCTGCTTTCCACAGAGCAAGGAGCCAAAACTTTTGAACTGGCCACTTTTCTCTTGCTAGCCCTGCAGTGTTCTGCAAGACAGAGATATCAGAGTTTCTGTTTTCAGTGCCCTTCCCTTTAGCAGAGAACATAGCCTGGATTTAAATGTTTTAGGCTCATCTCGCCCTAGGGCATTGCCATCCTGGTTTCCTACAGTCTTGTGCAGGCTGTCACCATTGTTGTAAGTTCATATGAACAAATTTCTAAGGCCTGAAAGTCTGTTTCCATATGTTCACACACTATCCCTGGCTCTTACAATCTTTCCATTTCCTCTTCCACAGTGGTTCCTGAATCATGGGTAGGTGGGGTGAGGTTTTTTATTTTTGTCTTTTTGAGACAGGGTCTCCACATAGCCCCAGCTGGCCTGGAACTTTCTATGTAGACCAGGCTGACCTTGAACTCACAGAGGTCCATCTGCCTCTGCCTCCTGAGTGCTGGGATTAAAGGCATGCGCTACCACACCCAGTTTATGGGTGGGTGAGGTTTAATAGGAGTCCTACCCAGTGACACACATTCTGAAATCTCTAATTCTCTAAAACATAGCCAGTTGTGGCCTGTGTACATCACACTCTGTTGCATGAGGAAGCGTTAGTATTCTCTTTATTTCTGTGAGCCTTAGGTGTAAAGATTCCATTGTAGATGTGTCACTTAGAACTCGGCATCTCTGAGGCACTTATTCTCTGTGTGTAACCTGTGACAGAATGCAAGAAATTCAGTGGGGAGGGATGAGGGATGTGGACGAGGGAGGGGATCTAAATATGATTAAGATACATAAAAAATCAGTAAAATACACATGAAGAAAAAACCATATAGATATAAAATGTGAGCAGGAAAAAGCTAAACTAGTCAAGAGTGTGTGCATTGCAGGGAGGGGCAGGAAGGTGCTGGACAGGGTGGGGAAGGGAATCCTTGTTCATCTTAAATTGTCTTTATTGTAGTAAAATACACATACTCATCTTAAGTGAAATAAGCTGGACTGGGAAACAGTGTATGGTTTGTTTTCCCTCATATATGGAACCAAGTTTAAAAGCAACCCCTTGTGTGTGTGTATGTGTCGAGTTTTTTAAAGAAATTGTTTTCATTTTATGTGTATTGCCTGCATGTATGTAAGTGCACCCCTGTTGTGCAATGCCCACGGAAGTCAGAAGAGGGCATCAGATCCCCTGGAACTGGAGTTATGGATGGTTGTTAGCTGCCACGTGGGTGCTGGGAATTGAACATAGGTCCTCTGCAAGAGCAGCCAGTGCTCTTAACCATCGAGGCATCTCTTCATCCATATGCAGGTTTTGAAACAAGAAAGGATCATGGGAGGGGAGGAAGAGCTCTTAAGGGAGGTGGGAAGCAGAGAGGGTTAGGACATCAATGAAGGGGGCTGAAGGGGGCCTAACTGGAAGAGGGAACCAGCTGGAGAAGGCACAGGGGAGGGGACCGAGGGAGAGGAGTGACCAGGAACAAAGAGCAATGGCAGATTTGTGTGAAGATGCTGTGAGGAAACAAACCCCTTATGTTGTATGCTGGCCTGAGAAATTAACTACAATCACCATCAGTGGGATTTCGTGTATTCGCAAAGCTGTGCCACCAGGTCTTCTGCTTCTGAGACAGTCTTGCCATCCCAAAGAAACTCCATACCTATTAAACAGGCACTCCCTGTCCCCCTTCCCCAGCAACCACTGACCTGCTGCTTTCTGCCTCTATGGTTTTGCCTGTTCTGAACATCTTGTATAAATGACATCATGCAACATGCATGTTTTGGGACTTTCGTTGTCTCTGGAAATAGTAAAATAATTATAGACTGGGTATGTAGCCCAGTTGGTAGGGTGCTTGCCTAGCATTCATGAATCCCTGAGTTCAGTCCCTAGCACCACATACAACCATGTATGGTGATCCTTGCCCATAATTCCAGCTCTCAGGGCAACTTGTAGAAGAAAGGGTTTATTTGACTTCCCCTTATCAAGGGAAGCCCAGGCAGGAATGCAAGGCAGAAATGTGGAGGCAGGAGCTGAAGCAGAGACCATGGAGGACGACTGCTTACTGGCTTGCTTCTTCTGACTTGCTCAGGTACCTTCTTAAAATTTTTTAAAAGTTTATTATCATTTTGTTTGTATGACTATTTGGCCTTCATGTATGTAAGTGCATATGTGTGTGCATTGCCTATGGAGGCCAGATGAGGGCATCAGATCCTCTGGAACTGGAGTCACAGACGGTTGGGAGCCACCATGTGTGTACTGGGACCTGAACCTGGATCCTCGGCCAGAGCAGCCTATACTCTGAACCATTTCTCTGAGCTATCTTTCCAACCCCTCAGTTCCTTTCATATATAGCCCAGGACCACCTACCTAGGGATGGCCCTGCCCACAGTGGGCATGGCCCTCCCACATAAACTAGCAATTAAGAAAATGCCTCACACACATAGCCACATGCTAGTCTGATGGAGGAAATTCCTCAATTGAGGTTTCCCTTTCTCAGGTGACTCTAGTTTGTGTCAAATTGACAAAAACGAACTAGTGCAGAGTTCAAGGCCAGCCTGGGCTACAGACGGTCCTGTTTCAGAAAAAAAGAAGTATCTATTCAAAGAAGTCTGGTTCTTTTCTTTTCTCAGGACTGTGTGTAATACAGGTGATCCAAGCACAGCATGGTGAGTATGTCTCCCCAGTCCTCCTAGTTCAGCCAGTAAGAGGTTGGAGGGTGTGTCAGGACCCCAAAGGGACCAGTTTGCATGGGAGCTAACACAGGGCCTGTGATCTCCTCCAGGCCGGCTCCCCAAGCCCTCCCTCCAGGCTCTGCCCAGTTCCCTGACACCCCTGAAGAAGCCAGTCACTCTGAAGTGCCAGGGTCCTCCAGGTGTGGACTTGTACCGCTTGGAGAAACTGGGATCTGGGGAGTATGAGGATCAAGACTTTCTCTTCATTCCTATCATGAAACAAAATCACGCTGGACGCTACCGTTGCTCATATCAGAATGGGAGCCGATGGTCTCCTCCCAGTGAACAGCTGGAGCTGATCGCTACTGGTAACTGGAAGGGGAGGGATGGAGTGTGGCTGGTCTGGTGATTTGGGCGCTGCCTGGCCTTGGTAATCATAGAGAGTGAAAGTGGGGCGTGTTGGTGAAGTAAAGCCCTAAATCCTGTGGTGCTGAGGGTTGGAATGAGACAAGTCAGTTATTGGTCCTGGTTACTAAATTTTTATTTTATTATTGAATTTTTTTTTGGTCTTTTTGAGACAGGATCTTCCTGTAGCCCCAGCTGGCCTGGAACTCATTATGTAGACCAGGCTGGCCTTGAACTCACAGAGATCTGCCTGCCTCTGCCTCCCCAGTGCTGGGATTAAAGGTGAGCACCATCATGCCTGGCTATTATTGAATTTTTTACTTTTTTTTTGGTTTGATGATATTTAGATCACCTCTCCTATCTGCACTTTCCCTCTCTGTCCCAACCCAATTTAATGTACTCTATTATATATATATATGTATATATACATATATGTATGTATATATATATATGTATATATATGTATTTGTTGTTGTTTTCTTTTTTTTTTCTTCAGAGACAGGGTCTCCCTGTGGCCCCAGCTGGTCTGGCACTCGCTATGTAGACCAGTCTAGCCTCAATCTCACAGAGATCCACCTGCCTCTGCCTCCTGAGTGCTGGGACTAAAGGTGTGCACCACCACTCCTGGCTTGTACTCTATTATATAATATATAATATAAATATTATAAAATATATTATATATTATATAGTATGGCCTATAGAGTCTGATTTGTGTCCCTAAATGTCCTTCAGTGTGGTACATCTACTGGGACCACAAAGAGTCCTATCCCTGTAAGACACTGTCTCTTTCCCTCCAGCAACCATCAGTTGGCAAAATTTCTTACCTACTTCCCTATGTCTGTGCTGGGATTTTGTCTGGTTTGAGCTTGCATAGGAATTGTGTATGCTGTCACCATTGCTGTGAGTTTGAGTAATGGTTACTAAATTTAGGGGTGGTATCTCTAAGACACTCATTAATCAAGATAAGTAACTTTTCCTTTTGAGACAGGGTCTCCCTGTAGCCCCAGCTGGCCTGGAACTAGTCATGGAGACCAGGGTGGCCTCAATCTCACAGAGGCCACCTGCATCTGCCTCCTGAGAACTAGGATTAAAGGTACTCTCCACTGTGTCTGGTGCACAAATTGCATTTTAATGTAATGCTAAATTTTTTAAATTTAGTTTCTGAGAATTTCATACATGCATACAATGAAATATGGTCATATCTATTGCCATTTCTCCTGTCCAACTCCTCTGTACCCCTTCCCCCAACACATCCTCTTCATAAATTCATGTTCTCTGCTTAAAAAAACCCACTAAATCCAGCTAGTGCTTCCTGTATGTGCATGGGTGTGGGCCTCCCACTGGAGCATGGAAACCTCCCAGTGGTCACATCTTCAACAAAGAATGATTCTCCCTCTGTCAGCAGCTCCCAACTTTCAGTAGTTGGGAGTGGTGGGGCCTCATAAGCTCCTTCCCCATCTGCACTGGAGTGTTTGCTAGCTTGATCTTGTGCAGACTCATGCCATCACCACAGGTGCTGTGAGTTCATGGGTACAACAGCCATGCCATATCCAGAACACGGCATTTCACAGTGCACCTCCCTGTCCTCTGGTTCTTTTTTTTAAAGCTTTATTGAGAATTTTGTACATGCATATAAGGTGTTTTGATCAAATCCATGCCCACTCTCACCCCTCCAACTCCTCCCATATCTCCCCATCACTTTTTTCTGACTTCTTTCTTTCTTTCTTTCTTTCTTTCTTTCTTTCTTTCTTTCTTTCTTTCTTTCTTTCTTTCTCTCTCTCTCTCTTTTCTTTCTCTTTCTCTCTCTCCCTCCCTCCCTCCCTCTCTCCCTTCCTTCCTTTCTTTCTAGTGGGGCTTTTTGCTACTTTAACATTCCCCACTCTGAAGAGGTAACCCTAAAATCTTTTAGGGATTAGATAAGAGCTCCGAAACACTTTTGACATTTTTGGCCTTTGGAACAGAGTATGTTGTTAAGAGTCCCAAGGACATTTTGATTTTTAGCCAAGAAACTGGCTACTTTTCTTTGGGGTCTTTTTACCCTAACTACCTAGCCAATTCCTTCCTCTTATTCTTGTCACATCATCCTCTGAAGAGGTTACCCAAATTGCCAATAGGGAATATGGACGCAGACTGCACTGGCTTTTTCTACGCTGAACAGGGATTCAGGGTGAGGCAATTGGAGTACCCCTTCAGTGGGTCTATCTAAAAGACTCCCAAATTGCATAACTCTTATCTGTAGGGAGAAAAGAAAACCCTTGACTGGTGAATATGGGATGTGACGAAGAAGTAAAGGCAAGAGTAATTACCATTACAAGTTCTAGACAGGAAACTAGAAAAAAGTCAGAACAGGGCAAATTTCAAATGTTCATATCAGAGTCCATGGGAATTTCTTGACGAGAGCTTCCAAAGCATCCCTCTATTGGGTTCCTCCTCATTTTTCTTTTGTCTGCCAAAGCTGGACTCAAGAGTGATGAATTCAGGATTTGCTTTCAGGTATTTTGGTAGCTGTTGGAGTGGTTAGAATCAGTGTCATTTCCCTTTCAAAGACTTCGAGATGGGGGAGAAAACAAATTTATCCATCATTTTAGAACAATAGTGGGTTGTCTCCCTTAGCTACAGGTGGGCACTACAGTATTGGAGACCAAGATTTGAAGTCTTACATCTGAGCAGCACTTTCTGGTTAGGAACAAAATCATCAATGAGAAATAATTATCTAAATAACATTTTATATAGACTTAAGACTAATGTCTGGGAAGTGTAATTCTTTGAACTCTTAAAGAAATATATTTATCACTTTAATCTTTGGCTATACTTTCCTTTTGGGTGTTTAAGACTATACAGTTAGCCCAAATGAACCAATTTATTTTTACTCTTAAGGTCATTTGAGGATTTGTTCCTCGAGGGTCACATGGGCTTGGGAGCAGCCCGTGGCTCCTTTCTTTTACCAGTTCCATCCATGTGAAGATAACTCAAAAGTCCTGCTTGACTGTGGCTGGATTCACTTGGAAGCATGGAGGAAATGTTTCCTCTAGTTGACCCTCCTCTTTATAGACTGGACACTGGTTCAAATCCATCTGGTGGGGTCTCCATGGTCTCCCTGAACAGGAGGACAGGTGACTCACCACAGTTACAGGACATTTTGAGAGATGCTCCATAGTCCTCTGGAACTTAGTTGACCTTGGAGGGCAAGGAGCAAAAACTGTCCTTTAAATCCCTCTGACCAGATTAGTATAGGCCTCAAAGTATGTCTGTTGAACATCGAATAAGGTTATTTCCACCAATCTGGTACTTTTGATCACCATGTGCTATGTAGATAAAGCTTGGGCAAAAATAAAACTTTCTCAGATAAATCTTGACTAGACGTTATTTTTATCTCATCCTTTATATAGCATAACAAACCTAAACAGACCTTCATCACTTGCTTAGGCTTTCTCATTTTTTCTATTTTGGAAAATACCTCCATTCCCATATCCTTTTAACATCTTTTACATTCTCATTTTCTTTTTTAATAATTATAAGACATAATAACATTAACAAATAAGTTTTCCATCTGTTGTGAGACTTCTTTTCCTGGGGATACTAAGCAATGCTTATCCCCTTTTAAGGTTGTAGTGTCAAACCAATGTTTGATTAAAGTTTTCCTGGGGAACCAATGAATTTACTGAGCTTACTTACAGAGATGACTGAGGGGTTGCTGAGGTGTATGAGTGACCTGGGGTATGTGCACTGGAAAGCCTTTATCCAGCATGCATCATGCCTTCTCTTCCTAGCTTTCCCCAGATTATATACGTTAGTCCTCCCCTATCCTCTGGTTCTTATTTTCCATTTTCCCTCCAGTGGTGTTCCCTAAGCCTTGGCCAGGGTTTGGAGGGGTTGGGGAGGGAAGTGGGAGAAGAGTAGGAGGGTAGAAAGTGGAGGGTGTAGGGACTGGGGGGACAGTGGAGAAAGATGTCCTGTTTAAATAATACTAAAATTGTTATCAGTATGTATTAACTATACAGAGGTAGTTAACTAGTAATAATAATGATAATTTGCTGGGGGGGGAGTTGGACCCTGGGGTCCTCTGCATTGTTATCTCCCTACTGTGCAGTGAACCCCAACTCCTCACTTGTGAACTTGAGAGTCGTTTCACTGCTGAGCCACACCCCAGCCACTCACTGGTGGAGTCTAGGCAAGTGCCAGGCTATATCCCCAATCCTTCTTTAACCCTCTTTAATAAAATTTTAAAAATAGATTCTTTGAGAATTTCATACAATGCATTTTGTTCACATTCAAACCCCTTCCAGCATCTCTACTCCTACCCTACTCCACGAACCCACCTCACGTTCTCTAGTATTAATTTTATTTATTTATTTATATATATTTTTTGAGACAGGCTTTCCCTGTAGCCCCAGATAGCCTGGAACTCACTATGTAGACCAGGCTGGCCTTGAACTCACAGAGATCCACCTGTCTCTACCTCCCGAGTGCTGGGATTAAAGGCATGTGCCACCATGCCCGGCTATTATGATTCTTTTTTAAAGGCCTATGAAGTTTAATCTGTGTTCCCCAAATGCTCTTGAGTGTGGGTCTATATCTTGAAGTCTGGTAAACCTAACAGGTTTCACACCCCTAAAGGAAATATACTGTCTCCCAGCAGCGCTTACTTGCCAAGGCTCAGGGATCAGGAACAGGGGACAGAAAGATTGTAAGAGCCACAGGTGGTAGAGGAATGCAAGGACACTGTATTGTCTGGATATGACAGGGTAGTTGCACATATGAACCCACAGTGCTTATTACCGCATGGCCAAGTCCTTTTTTATTGACTCAGTTTGCTCACTGACAATTTCAGACCTCTATATAGTGCACCCTGTTTATTCTAACCCTGCCCTATCTTATCTCCCTCCCATCCCCGTCTTCTCCCCTCTTCCTTACATTTCCACATTCATGTCTTTTTGTTTTGTTTTGTGACCCATTGATTTGAACCAGGACTGTTTGTGGTGGTCGTGGGTTTGGAACTATTCATTGGAACATGGTAGGCCCCTGGGTTTGCCTATCTAAAGACAATGATTATGTGTCCCTTAGACTCCATCAGAGGCCAATAGTTCAGCAGAGTCGGGGAAGAACCCCCAAATCCCCTCCCTGATCCCTGATTGACAGTTGACAGGCCCAGTCTTGTGCAGGCCCAGTGCGGGCAAGCAGAGTTGCTGTGAGGTAATGTTTGCAATGGTTGTCTTGCCCTGAAGATAGTTTCTCAAATCTCTTATCTTCTGGCTCCTATATTATTTCTGCTACCGTTTCCCTGTGACCTTTGAGCCTTAGAGGGCATGGTATAAATGTTTGGGACTGAGCACTCTGCTGTTATTTATTCTAAGCATCTTTAGCAAACGCTTTACCAATCTCCCCAGCCCTTTTTTTCCATCTTTAATGCACATTTTCTCTCTTCCCAGGAGCTTTCACTAAGCCCTCACTCTCAGCTCATCCAAGCTCAGCAGTCCCTCCAGGTGGGGATGTGACCCTGCAGTGTCAGAGTCGATATGGTTTTGATCAATTTGCTCTGTACAAGGAAGGGGATGCTGGGCCCTATCAGAAACCAGAGAGGTGGTATGGGGCGGATTTCCCCTTCGTCACAGTGACTGCTGCACACAGTGGGACTTACAGGTGCTACAGTTTCTCCAGCACATCTCCATACCTGTGGTCAGCCCCCAGTGACCCCGTGGTGCTCATGGTCACAGGTAAGTGGGTCCAGACCTGAGATTCCTTCTTCTACATTGGCAGACCACTGTGGGAATTCCAAGGGAGTCAGAGGTGCAGGTAGGGGGAGCCTGAAGCTCCAATCAACTTTGGAGATATATGAGTATCCTTCTGCTTCTATGACACATCACCACAGACTCCATGCATCACAGTAACACAAACTTATAATGCTACCATTGTGAAGATCTCAAGTCTGAAAAAGTTCTCACTGATTTAAAGTAAAGCCATCAATTATTGCAACACCATAATAGTTGAGCTAGCAGAGACTCGAAAGGATGAGAAGACACAGATGAAGCTTTAAGCGGAAGATCTGAGACTCATGGTGCGCAGACTCAGATCCTTCTCAGTCCTAGCTTTTATTCAGAACTAAAATAATGGATGAGTTGAGTTTACAGGAAATATTGTGCCAAGAACACATAAAACACACAATAACAAGGAATACAATGTACAGATGTTACCGGACAAAGCCAGCTCTAAACTAAGCTTGTGTGTTAGAAACATCTGCTTCTTTAAATAGCTTCAGCCCAACCAGAATGTTTTCAGGAACTTAAGAACACATGTTTTTCCTTAGAGGTTTGCCTTCTGGGAACACTGTTTGCAGTGATCACATAATTCTTTTGTCTTTTCATTGAACATTAACTCTGGAAGTTGTCATAGCCGTCAAGTCACAAGCTGTATCAACTCTCAATGAAGTGGCTTATTATACAACGCTGTTTGCAATAGTTGTTGCTGGTTTTAGTACATTTCTCTCTTCCTACAATGATCTCATGCCCACAAGCAGACTCTTTCCACTCCTTTCCTGGATCCAAGCAACATCTTTTTTTCTTTCTATCTTTTGAGACAGGGTCTCTCTGTAGCTCCAGCTGGCCTGGAACTCACTATGTAGACCAAGGCTGGCCTTGAACTCACAGAGATCCACCTGCCTCTGCCTCCCAAGAGCTGGGATTAAAGGCATGGGACACCACACCCATGCAACTTCTTATCTGCTTTATCTTTGTATAAACTTGTTTTCCCTGAGCATTTCACACAGATGGAGTCTTAAATTACATAGTCTTCCTGACTGGTTTCTTTCCCTCAGTATCATGCTTTTAAGGTTCCTATCAATAGTCTAGTCTTTACTACTTTTTAACATTTTTATTTTACTTGACACATGATATCTATCAGTGTGATATTTTGATATTTTGATATATATACATTGCAGAATGATTACACCAGACCAATGAATATACTCCTTGCCTCATATATAATTATTTTAGTAACAAGAGCACTTAAACTTCACTCTTGAAGCAATTTTGAAATATATTCTTATTTATGTTCCATTAAATAGGATTTATTTTTAAATTTTTAGTTATTTATTTTTATTTTATGTGTATGAGTGTTTTGCCTACATGTAGGTAAGTGTACCTGTGTTGTGCAAAGCTGGAGGAGGCCAGAAGAGGGCCTTTGACCCACTGGAACTGGAGTTATGGACGATTGTTAGCAGTCATGTGGGTGCTAGGAATTGAACCTGGATCCTCTGGAAGAACAGCCAGTGCTCTTAACTGCTGAGCCGTCTCTCCAGCCCCCAGATTTATTTATTTTTAAAAAGTATCTATCTCAGAGAAAGGTATGGTGGCTCAGGCCTGTAATCCCAGCGCTTGTGGGGTGCAGGCAGGAGGACTAGAAATTTGAGGTTAGCTTTGGTTACACAGCATATTAGTTACTTTTCTGTTGCTTTGATAAAATGCCACGAACAAGGCAGTTTACAGAAGGAAGAGTTTATTTGGCTTATGGTTTCGGACGGATGAGTCCATCATGGTGGGGAGGCATGGCAGGAGGCAGCAGCAACAAGAAGCCGAGGGCTCACATCTTAAAGCACACCCAGGAAGCAGAGAGAGAGAATCTGAAATGCAACATGACTCTCTACTGCTAAAGCCTGTCCCCAGTGATGTGCTTCCTCCAGCAAGGCTGTGTCTCCTAGGAATTTCAGGACCTTCCCAAAACACGGCCAGCAACTGACCAAGTGTTCAAATACTTGAGCCTGTGGGGGACACACAAAACAAAACAAAAAAATATAAGAGATAGGGACTCAGTGGGCAAAGGAAGTTGCTGACAAGCCAGAGGAACTGAATTTGATCCCTGGGACCCACATGGTAGAAGAAGAACTGACTTCTGCAAGCTGTCCTCTGACCCCCACACTTGTGATGTGGCATTTGAAATCTCCAACCAATCAATCAATCAATCAATCAATCAATCAGTCAATCAATCAATCAATGTAATAAAAATATGGGCAGGGCTGTATCACAGTGGTAGAGTACATGGTTAACATGTACCCAGTTTCAACTCCTAGTACCAATAAATAAATAAATTATTATTTATTATTTTTATTTTATGTGTATGAGTGTATTGCCTGCATGTATGTGAGTGCATCCCTGTTGTGCAATGCTGTAGAGGTCAGAAGAGGGCTTCAGAATCCCCTGGAACTGGAGTTAAACACGGTTAATAGCCGCCATGTGGATGCTGGGAATTGAACCTGGGTCCTCTGCAAGAGCAGTCAGTGCTCTTAACCACTGAGCCAACTATCCAGCCCCATAAAAACAATTTTTAAAAGGGAGTGTATATGCTTTTCTACCTTAATACTCAGAGAGAATATTATTTTAAATCTTGGCCTCCTTTCTCACCTCATACCCCTTCTCACCCACACTGTGATTCCTGACCCATTTCCTAAACATATCCCATGGCTCTTGTCTCCATATCTAGTGCCAGGCTTGCTTCCCTGAACAAAGTGAGGGTGTGACAACAGTCCAGAAGAACTGAGGTTCCACAGGCAGGAAAGCAGCCGCAGTGTGCAGCAGGGAATGTGCCTGGTGTGACACCCACGACAGCCAGTATTGGATGCTCCCTTATACTTATTTGCCATGTGTGGAAACTGTCATAGAAATGTGTCATCATTTGTTCAGAGCTCACAGATAATAGAGTACTAACTTTTGTCCTTTTTTGATTTCCCAGGAACCTCAGAGACTCCCAGCCAGATACTCAGTGAGGTATCACTCTCCTTAACAAGTGAGTTCAGTGGATTCTGGTGTCTGGGGAATGAGGTTGAACCATGATGTTGTTCCTAAATGTAGTCTCCAACCCTCAAGAGGTATATATGCACAGGCTGAAAGAGGTCAGGAAATATTTGGTTGGTGTGTAAATACAATGGGTGGTCTCAGGTCTTAGGAGGAAAGGGGCTTCCTGTGCTTAGAGGTGCTTAGAGGCTAGCAACTGCTTGTTCTCCTATGAAGCTTTTTTTTGGTCTTTTTGAGATAGGGTGTCCCTGTAGCTCCAGCTGGTCTGGAACTTGCTATGTAGACCAGGCTGGCCTTGAATTCACAGAGATCCACCTGCCTCTGCCTCCCAAGTGCTGGGATTAAAGGTGTGTGCCACCATGCCTGGCTATGAAGCTTATTTTAAACTGAGATGAAATCCACACATGATGTGCCCATTAGATGGCTATAATTACACAAACCCAAATGAAGCCAACCATACACTCTACCAACCAACCAACCAACCAACCAATCAGCCAGTCATCCATCCATCCATCCATCCATCCATCCATCCATCCATCCATCCATCAAGCCATTCATCCATCCATCTATCCAGTCAGTAAGTCAGCCATCCATCCATCCAGCCAGTCAACCAACCAAACCACCAAGCAATAAAACAACCAACCAACCAACCAACCAACCAACCAACCAACCAACCAACCAACCAACCAACCTAACCAGTCAGTCAGCCAGCCAGCCAACAAACCAACCAATCAACCAACCAATTAACCAAGCACCAGCAAACCAACGAATACAAGTGTTGGGTAGGATTTAGAGAAACTAGAAACTTCTACATTATTGGTGGCATTGTCAAACAAAGCATCTTGTTTGAACACTTGTAGTCCCTCAAAAGTTAAACACAGCTATGCTATGACCCAGTGGTCTTGAAACTCTCAAGTTGACACCAATTGAAATGGAGAACTTATGTTTACACAAGCTCCAGTATGGGAATGCACACAGCAGTGTCATTCATACTAGCACTGAAGTGGAAACACCTCAGGTACCCGTCAACTGATGAATGGTCCAAATCTTGAAGCTGCTGTGGGATGGGCACTAAGTCTTAGGACTTTTTGAATTTGTTAGTCTCAGTGGTTGTGCCAGACATAAGGGCTTTAGGGTACCAAGACATCTCAGAAGAGATATCTGGAGGGTGGGGCTACCTGGGAAGAACTGACATTCTACTTCTTTGTAATCCTCCTGCCTAGAGCTCCCAGAAGTCACCAGGAGACATTTCAGACCTTTGAACTCGTTCACTCACAAAGTCTCTACAACTGGTGAGTAACTAGACATTTAAAGCTCAGCTGCAAGAAGTGTAAGACTAGGTTTCTGTTTACCAGAACCGAAGCCTTTTTTTTTTTTTTTTTTTTTTTTTTTTTGAGACAGGATCTCATGTAGCCTAGACTGGCCACATACTTATCATTATAGCAGAGGGAGACCTTGAACTTCTGATCCTCTTGCCATCACCACTTGAATACTGAGGTTAGAGGCGTGTGCCACCATGACCAGTTTATGTGGTGCTGGGGATCAAACCCAGGACTTTATGCATGCTAGGCAAGTACTCTACCAACTGAGCTATTGCTCCAACACCCCCCTTTATGTTTTATGCACATCTAATACACATAGCCTGAAGATGAGTTTATATATTTCCAGTGCACTTGTGTTTTGACTGCAACCTGTCCTATGAGATCAGGTGTGGAATTTTTCACTTGTGTCATAAAAAGTATCAAATTTTGGAGTATTTCATATTTTGGATTTTCACATTAGGAATGCTTAACCTGTACTATTTTAATTTTCAAACCAACCCATTATGTTGTGGTACCAATTTCATTGGACAGATGGCTTACAGAGGCTGAGATACTTTTTAGGAGGCTCATGTTATAATAAATACTGGACTGGGGAGTCAAGTCTGGCCAGCCTCAATATGGTTTGTGAGTTCCTTAAATTCCATGGAATCTACCTCACAAGCACATGTATTTATTTCCAGCAGGGGAGTTATTTCCTTTTGTGCACACTTGGCATCTTTTTCTTTCATTCCTAGAAACGTCTAAGAATGTTACTGTCTCTCGAGAGGTGTCCAGCCCCCCATTTGGTAAGTGTTCCTGTCCAGATCTACTTCCTTCACATCCCATCTCTTCACCCAAAGCAGACTCCTTTCCCTCTACAGGGGATATGTAGGTCTGTTAACTTGGGTCCTGGTGTGTAGAATGGTAAAGGGTGGAATATCAGCATGTGGAATTCAGAATTGGTCAAGAAGATTAAGTGGGCAGGTTGGGGTTTTCCAAATAATCAAAGAAAGGCACTCTGTGGCACACGCCTTTAATCCCAGCACCGGGAAGGCAGAGGCAGGTGGATCTCTGTGAGTTCAAGGCCAGCCTGGTCTACATAGTGAGTTCCAGGACAGCTGGAGCTACAGGGAGACCCTGTCTCAAAAAGACCCCCCCAAAAGAAAGTCATTCCCTTCCCTCTCCTTCCCCCTTTCCCTGTGCCCCTTATAGCTATCTTCTTTTTAAGATGATAATATAACTACATGTTGGCTGTGCCTAGGGGGGGGTTGTAATGGAGTTGAAGGAGGGGATATATGGGAGAAGCATTGAGCAACTGGGGTTATCTGGTCCTGACCTTTGGTGTGGATGGGGGGGCCCTGTAGGAAGGTGATGAACAACATCTCTGCTGATGGAGGATAATAGAATCTCAAATCAAGGCTATAGCAGTGAGAAAGAATGGGGCCTAGAGATGAGATATTCACAATCTGTTTCCAACTTTTTTCTACCCTATAGGTTTTGCCCACCAGCACTATACCAAGGGGAATCTGGTACGGATATGCCTTGGTGCCGTGATTCTAATATTCCTGGCAGGGCTTCTGGCAGAGGATTGGCACAGTCGAAAGAAACCCCTGCCACACAGAATCAGAGCTGTGCAAAGGCCACTCCCACCCCTCCCGCCAACCCGAAAATAACATAGCTTTCAGAATGGGAGGCTGACCGGATGTTTATGACCATTAAAGCCCCAGGCATCGGCATACCCAAGAGTGAGAAGGTTACATAAAGATGCATGTGGGAGTAATGTGAGGGCAGGGTAACAGGTAGGCTAGAGGGCCATGGGCCTTCTTGGTGCTCCATCAAATGGTTGATCCAGGGTCTGCTTGGCTGTCCAGGAATTCCGCACCGGGTGGAGAGAGTCTAGGGGAAACCTTCTGATATCTTGCACACTGTGGCTATTACAGTCCACCTGCATGGTGGCCTTTCTTCATCTCTCTCTCTAATATGGGTTCAAGATTAGTTTCCAAAATACCCAGGTTTCACAGTTGGCTTTCCATGTCCCCTGGTCACCTGTGATCCTCTATGATGGTTCCTAGACTTAGCTCTTACCCTCACCCCATCTTAAGCCACAGTCCGATATATCTCCTTTTACTTCTTAGAATGGGAACTGTTTTTTTTCCCAGGATGTGGGATACGCGGGTATTTTTCATTCATATATAATATTTAGTATATAGTTAATGCAATCACTTCCTTTTGTTTAGAGCTGATATGTTCCAAGACTCCAAATGGATGCCTAAAACTGTGGATAGTACCAAACTCTATATACATCATGTTTCCCTACATATATTATTGCATTTTGAGAATATTATCAAGTAAAATAAGGGATACCTGACCTCACAATCCCTGTGACACTGTGGCAGTTGATTTGCCAACCAGCATGGCTACTAATTTCCAATGAACAGGAAGTGTATGAACATCCGAAAGGTTAAGTCATGACTTGGGTGGAATGGAATGTCAGGTACAATGGCATGGGAGTTGTTAGGCTACACAAAATGTAAAACCTATAAATGATTTCTAGAATCTTCCATTTAATATTTTCAGATTAAGGTTGACCACATACAATGGGAACAATATGAAGCAAGACCATACTTACAGGGGGTCTTCCTGTAAAGCACACCGATGGTCTCCTTTATATTAGAAAGTATCCTAAACATATCTAAAAAGTCAGACTAGGCCAGTACAGAGAGATGGGAAACACTGGTGGCTTCTAGGGGCTGACAGGGGGAAGTGGAAAGGAATAGGAGAATTATTGTTTAATGAGTTTAGACTTATTTTTTTTAGGGTGACGAAGATGTTTTGGAACTAGAGAGAAGTGATAGTTATCTAATATTGTGAGTGTGCTAAGGGCTACTAACTTTAAAAATGCAGTAAGGCAGTGTACACTTCTAATCCCAGCACATGGGAGGAGAGGTGGGAAGATCAAGGCCAGCCTGCACTACATAGTGAGACCCCATCTCCAAGACAAATGCAGTATTGTGACCATGAATAATAAAATATTAAAAAAACACAGGAATTTGAATGTTTTGACATAGAAATACTACATATGTGTCTCTATGTGCACCCCATAAACATGTACACTTTTTATGTCAGTTGAATGTTATTTAGGAGAAAGCTAATTTATATTACATAAATTTCACCATCATGGTTGGTTGTCAACTTGACAGAGCTGGGAACAGGAATTATCTCTATCAGACTGGCCTCTGGGAACACCTGTGAGGCATTATCTTGATTACTGAGTGATATGGGAGAGCCCAGCTCACTGTGGGCTTCATATTTGTGATTATAGTAATAAAGCTGATAGCCCCTAGGATTGATGAGATCCTGCTCCCTCCCCCTAGAAGGTGATCCTGCATTGTATAAGAAATCAGACTGAGCCAAGGCCAGAGGAGCATGCTAGTAAGCAGTGTTTCTCCATGGTCTGTGCCTGCCTCCAGGTCCCTGTCCTGAGTTCCTGCCTGGCTTCCCTCAAAGATGGGCTGTCACTTGGAAGCGTAAGATGCAATAAACCCTTTCCTTCCCAAGTTGATTTTAGTCAGAGTGTTTTATTACAGTAATTAGAACACACCCCAATAAACATTAAAATAAGACACCATGCTCCTTAGCTCCCCTCACCTCTACATGGGGTCATCTATCCTAGGAAACCATGTACATGAGAAGTACCCTCCTTTTGATGATCCTGTTTGGGTCTACTCCCTTCCTGGAAATGGAATCTTCTCAGTTGTGAACACTTCTCAGATAAAAGTATCTGTCTCTTAGGCAGAGACAATGGAAAGAATGGTTGAGTAATATCTTGTAAATGCTACTGAGAACTTATTTAGCTTATGTATTTATTTGATGGTACTGTGATTGGAACCTAGGGCCTCCCCCATGCAAGGCAAGTGCTCTGCCACTGTTACAACTTCTGTCCCTGGGATTGCTAATGCAGGTGGGTGTACATTTATTTTTTTGAGGCAGGGTCTCATTGTGTAGCTCTGGCTATATTGGAACTTGCTGTATAGACTAGGCCAGCCTCAAACTCAGAGATCCACCTGCTTCTGCCTCCTAAGTGCTGGAATTAAAGGTGTGCACCATCATGCTTGGCTGTGGATGTTCATTTTTATAACGAGAACATATGCTTTCCTTTTTGGATGTATGCTGCTAATAAGCATAATTAAGAGCAGGAAAACAATCTTAAAATTGTTTCCTTCAGTGGAAAGGATGTATTGACAGAGCTATGAAATACACACTTGGTCTTATATAGCACACACATATGTAGTTAAAAAACTCACCAATTCTAAAATATCTAAACACATAACAAATTATTGCACATATTACAAAAGATAAAGTAATGTGGAATGAAAACTCATGCTTCCAAGGTGCTAGAAGACTACCAGTCAAGATTCCAAACCACGACACAATTCAATCATCCAATCTGGGATCCTCCTCTTCAAAAATGAAGCGCCAACAAAGGGATGGTCTGATATTTAAGTGGGGGCGGGTGGGAGATGTGGAAGTCTGAGCTTTGCCCAGTTAAATATCACATTTGATGCTGTGTGAATAGTCAGGGTTGAGGATGGGTACAGAGGTATCTGTTTATGCTCCCACTTTAGTGATTTAAATTATGTGCATATCTGAGTCACTGTGTGGTGATGTGCACAGTTCAGTGGTCACAGAGGCCAGATCTGAGCACCAAATCCTCTGGATCTGGGGTTAAAGGGTGTGTGTGCCACCTTATGTAGGCACTGGGAGCTCAGTTTGTGTCCTGTGGAAGAGCAGGAAATACTCTTTACTGAGTCCCCTCTGCTGCCACCCATTCTTGACTTCACTTCCTGTCTTGTGGTTTACTTCCTGTTTCCCCTTGTCTCATAGGGGCCCTGCACACGGACAGGCTGACAGAAGTCATGGCAGTCATGTCTTCACTGTGGTATTTGAGGGAGGAGGGGACTTGGGCCCTGGAGAACCTGGGTTAAGTCCCAGGGACTAAGGGGGAAATTCTGTCATCTTGGACATTGTTCAGAGGCCTGGAATGTGGTCTAGGACTGGGGTTATGAAAATGAATGTCCCTCACCGATAGGTAAAAAGTTGGTGGAGAAGAGCGAATGGAGGAGGCGGCACCAGGACACAGATAAAATGCCATCAAAACAGGGTTTATCAGCAAAGGAACACATGGGACAGATTCCCTCCTGGGCAGGGAAAATGTCTGCCGGGTCTTGAGCTGGGGTCTTTTTAAAAAGGGAGCCTTCTGCCTCCTGCAGAAGGCGGGAAGATGTATTTTTTTTAAGTTGGGTGGGGGGAAGTGGGAGAGCGGGACTGTTAAAACTTGTCCTCTTTAGAGATCAAAGGGGAAGCCTGCTGTGTTGGCCATCAAAGGGGAAGCCTGCTGTGTTGGCCAAACAGTGGAGAAAAGTCTGCTTCTCTTGACTTCAAAGACCAAGGTTCTTATCAGCTAGGTTCCCTTTTCTCAGGAGCATGAGAAGTCCTTGGGATCCTGTTGGTGCTATCTGAACCTTAACACTCACTGAGATTTTTCTTTAGAGTTGTGGCTGAGCTTGGCACGAGAGCGCCTTATAATCTGTGCCAATAACCTGCTCTTTAGGCAGAGCTGAGGATTGGGATGTGTGGCTGAGCCAATGGTAGGAACCTCAGCTTGGAGGAGCCTTTGAATGAAGCTTGAAGTTACAGAGAATGGTGGAGGGTCAGGCTTCCATAACCTCTGACTCTTCCGGGAATCTGCCTAAACCCCTGTGACCTCCCCCATTGCAAACATGGATATACGATAATGTCATTGAATGAAGGGTGGAATTACAGAAGGGTGATTATTCTACAAGCCTTATCAAATTACTCAGTATTTCCTTCCTATTAATGTGATCAGATCCTGAACAAGTGTATGTACCCTTGCTGCTGTGGGATGGAGACTACATATTCAGAACGCAGTAACGGGCAAAGGCTGGTGGTCTCAGGTAAGTCAGTGTCAAGAGAGCAGACTGCTGTGCCTCCTCACCTCCTGAGCCATATACATCAATGTAGATACACGGGAGCCCTTATGCTATGTCAGCTTTGAGTGTGGGTTGTAGGTAATGAGGGTGGGTCTGAAAATGTGGAACACAGGAAATTCAATTGAGGACGAATTAAGATCCTGGTCAAAAGCCCAGGACTGTGGAGGTCATAGGCTTTAGGGCATAACCTGCTAATTTGCTAAATGGTTATATTGTCTTCTAAATATTTTTGTTTATATATGTAGACCTGGGCTGCTGTCAGTCTGGGTCAGAGAAGCTTTTTTCAATGGACTAAGAAAAAAAAGCTAGGCATGCTGATAATCCTGTTGGCTGTAGTGGCAGACAGAAGAGTATTTGGCTTGCTAACTATTCTGGCCAAATCAAGGAGCTCCAGGTTCTATGAAGGACCTTTCTCCAAAACTAAGGTGAACAGTGATAGAGGAAGATGCCCAACATTGACCTCTGTCCTCCACATGCACATGCATGAACACAAATATGTTTGTGTTCACAGGGACATACTCTATCATTGAGTTACATCCCCAAGTAATTCTGGGGTGTGGGGGAGGGGCATACAAGGGTCTTGGGTTTGGTCCCCTAGAACTGCAAATGAAACCAAAACATAAAACTGGAACTGAACATAGACTGGCCAGGCAATAGTGTAATCAAGCAATTGTTATATCCATTTTCCTGATCTAAGTTTTCCCCAATAAGGTCTTTTTCACTCTACTTTGTGGGAACCCATCAATAAACACAGATCTTCATGAATGCTTTCACCTTTATTTCCATACTCCCGTGATACCAGACATTTCACAAATAACGGTTCAATGACTTGTGCACCTTCTATGCATACCAGGATAGACATATTTAGTCCAGCAACCAGAAGAATCACAGCAGCTCAGGACGTTTATCTCTCACTTTCAAGGCCCACTACTCTTTTGGAGAGTGACTCCAGGCGGCTTCAAAAAATGAAATAAGGTGAAGATATTTTTTTCTTCTTAGGATCAGAATGGTCACTTTCAATGGTCAGTTGTGGGTTGCTCTCTGCTATTTCTTTGAGGAGCTTCTTGTTATCAGGGTCCTCTCCATCAAATCTGAACCTAGGTCACAGAAGAGGGAGAAGGGCAGCTGCTTGTTGCTTCGAGGAAATTCATTTCAAATTCCCACATGCTTTAAAGGTCTCATGGGCCACCTTAACGCTGTACTACAAAGTAGAGTTGCATAGCGATATTTAAAAATTTTGTGTGTGGTGCGTTCATGTGTGTGGGTCTGACACCCATGTGGGTGCATGAGGAGGCCAGAGGCTGACATTGGGATGTCTTTTCTCAAAAACTCCTCCATCTTGTCTTTTGAGACAGGGTCTCACAGAACCTGGAACTCACCATTTTGGCTAAACTAGCCACCCAGCAAGCCCCCTGATCTGTTTGTCTCCACCCCCAGCACTGGGATTACAGATATTTGCAGCTATGCCTAGCTTTTATATGGGTGTTGGTGATCTGAATTCAGATCCCTCAAGCTTGTGCAGCAAGTACTTTTACACACTGAGTTATCTTCCCAGCCCCAATATATTGATTTGCTTTTGAGATAGGGTCTCATGCAACCCAGGCTGGCCTTACACTCACTGTGTAGCTAAGAATAGCCTTGACTTTCAGTCTCCTGCTTCTGTCTCCCAAGGACACCATCACATATAGGTGAGCACTATACCAACTGAGCTATACCCCAAGCTACAAATATCAATAGTGGAAAAGGGGATATGGAGCTAACATTTCAGAAATACAGAGTCACTTGGGTACCTATGGATTCCTGGATAATGGTCACATAATACTTTGAGGTGGACAATGGGTGTCTTTTCTCCACTGATCTCATTTGTTGAATCAGGGTCTCTCACAGAAACTGGAGCTCACCAATTGGTTGCACTAGCTGGACACTGTGTTGGGGACACACCTATCTCTGCCTCACTGGAGCTGGGATTATAGACATGCACCACCATACCTAGCTCTTATGTGGGTTCTACACAGGTCCTCATGCTTGAGTGCCAGACGCTTCATTGACTAAGCCATCTCACCAGCCACATTTTTGTGGTCTTTTTTGAGATAGCATCTTGCGCTATAGTTCATCGTGGCCTGAAACGTGACTGTCATAGTTTCAATTGTCAACTTGACACAGTTGGGAAGAGGGAACCTCAACTGAGGAATTTCCTCCATCAGACTGGCCCATGGCCACAAGAAAGCTAACTGAGCAAATGAGAGAAAGAGCCAGTGAGAAGCATTCCTCTAGTCTCTGCTTCCATTTCCACTCCAGTCTCTGGCCTTAGTCCATCAATGGAAGCTAAAGGCTATAAGCCAAATAAACCCTTTACCAGGTTGGTTTTGGTGTTTTATTGCAGCAATGAGGTCAAAACCAAGTCACTATGTAAGCCTATGTGGACGTTTGATTGAGAATGCCCCCTACTATTTGAATACTTGGTCCCACATTAGCAGTGCTGTTTGGGGAGGGTCATGGAACCTTTAGGACGTGTGGCCATACTGGAGGAAGCACATCACTAGGGGGCTTTGAGAATACAGCTTGTCCATTCCCAGTCTGTCTCTTTGCCTCCTGTGCCTGCTTGAAGATGTCAATGTTCGGCTTTCTGCTCCAGCTGCCTCCTGCCATGCCTCCCCATCATGATGAACTCTTACCCCACTGGAACTATAAGCCCTCTAAACTCTTCCTTTGTAAGTGGCCTTGGTCATGGTGTTTTTTTCATAGCAATATAAAAGTAAAACAGCTCAGGTGGCAAGGCACTCTTGTCTCAGCCTCCCAAGTGCCTGGATTAAAGGCTTGAGCCCCTACACTTGGCTCCCAGACATCTTCTTTTCAACAAATATTTTATATGTCTGAGTGTATTGCCTTCATGTTGGTATGTTCACCCATGTTGTGCAATGCTCATGGAAGTCAGAAGAGGGTAATCCCCTGGAACAAGTTACGGATGGTTTTTAGGTGCTACCCTAAGTGGTGCCACCTAGAACCCTGAGTCCTCTGAAAGAGCATCCAGTACTCTTAACCACTGAGCAATCTCTCTAGCCCTGTAGACATTTTTCTAAAGGCACCTTGTGAGACTTACAGTTTGATTTCCCAAAAAATTGCCTCACAACCATGGCTCTCCCCTCCATGTCAGTCCAGCTTCTTGTTTCCAATGAAACACTGATTTCATTCTCCCACTCAGTTTACCCATCAACACAACAAGTGATCAATGGAAGGACTGTCTGATGACCAAAGGTCAATGGTTGAAACTGATATCTACAACGAGATTGTGTTGAATCCCCAGAAAGCCTGTGTGTCAGAAACACTTATGAAATAGTAGGATCATACCTGAATGTCTGAAGGGGGCAAGTTTGACTTTTCAAGGTGTCATACAGTATCTTTACTGCATCAGATCCCAAAGAGTTCTGGCCCAGGTCTAGAGTGGTCAGGCTCTTATTGCTGCTGAGGGCTGCAGAGAAGTCTTTGCAGCTGATAGGTGTAATGGAGCATCCCCACAGCCTTGCAAGAAAACAAAGACATTAATTAAGTTTTACCCAGCACTGAACCCTCCAACCTTCAATATTCACCTGCCAGGCAAGTTGTGCTCACTGACACAATAGTGGTATGACAGCTATGGGGGCAACCAATCACTTTTTGATTGGATTTGAGGTCTGCTACACAGTAGATATTTCATGTCTGGTGCTGTAAACATGTTTACAGCATGGCACCATGTGCGAGGTAGATGTGATGACCTTCCACTTAATGCTTCCTTAGGACCATTCAGGAGGCAAAGACAGGATCTTTGGAGCAACCTGGTTAAACTAGCCAAATTGGCAAGCCACAGGTTCAGAGTCATCATCCATGACTGGAGAGATCATAACCTCTAATGGGGAGCCTACTGTTATTGTTTCACTAAATGGTCATGCCAAACCACCTTCTAAAGATTTAAGATTATACCTATAGATCTTTGCTGCTCTCAACTTTGGTCAGAGAATCTTCTGTTTGCTATGGGTAGTGGTAAACACAGAAAATCATAATTGTTCCAAGTGTTAAGACTAAGTGATCAGCTGTAGCGAGTCACCTACATCAATCTGTCTCCATCCAAGGCTCTGGAAACCTCTTAGAAGAGGGGAACAGAAATAACATAAGAGCAGGAGGGTAGAGAAGCTGTGAAATGCTGTCTTCTGGTCATCACATGGCTGTTCCACATATGAACTCAGAGCATCTGTGTTGCTTGCAGATGATCAAGCCAGCCAAAATTCCAGCACCGATGTGGGAGGCGCTCCAGAGGCCTCACACGCTAATGAAGAGTTACTGTCAGTTTATAGCTGATGAGGGAGGGAAAGTCATTTTTCTTTGGCAATGTGGCTGCTGGTAGGTTCTCGGTTCCAGTGGATGGCCCCACCTCTATGTGCATATGCTTAGCCCCAATTAGACTCGGAGTTAATAGTAATAATAGTAATGGTTGTTGGGGGAGGGAGATACATTTTCCTCAGTGATAAGGTAAGGTGTTTACAGGACTTACGGTCCTATAAGCAACCCTAAACTTACTGTATCACAACCCCCCTCCAAAGTTGAAGAGGGTTATATACCGAAAGAGGAGGATCAGCAGGAGGACACAAGAGGGTGGGGGGTGAATATGATCAAAATACATTATATACATGAAATATCATAATGAATCCTACAATTATGTATAATACATGTCAATAAAACATTATAAAGATCAAATTTAAAAATACTGATGGCTGACTGTAACACTGCACACAACAGCTAAGATCAGAAATCATTTGAATGTGGTGAAACATGTCTATGATCCCAGCATTTGGAAGGCTGAGGTAGGAGGATACCAAGAGTTCAAGGCCAACCTGGACTACAGCGTGAAACACTGTTTTTAAATATTAAAGCTGTAATGAAAAGCTTCTTCTAATCATGTGGTTATTAAAAATTAAAACAAAATTCTTCATGTTAAATAGTAGAGGTGATAAACATTACCAGTGAAATCTACCTGATGACTTTATATCCATACTCAGGTACTAAGGATCCGAGTGTAACCGACTGTGACTAGTAATAATCAGATACATAGAGATTAAAGACACATGTGCAAACATGTAAGTGTTAGTAGCATTAAAAATGTAGGAAACAGCAAATCTTGAAAAGAAATGGAGATCTTCTTTAAAGGGTAAAAACTCATTCTATATTATGCCTTACAGGGTTTATACTGAGTTCAATATTGTATGACTATTAATTCAACTGTGAACCTAAAAATTTACAGCCACCTTTGAAAGATGTATCCTTGCTCTGGAATTTGTTACTGAATATGTTAAAGCTGTAATGAAAAAAATAAAGGCTATGCTAAAAAATGTAGAAAACAAGATATGAATTCTACTTAAGTATCCATTTAACGAATGAGTGAATAAGAAAAATGTGGAATATATGCGCAGTGGGATGGATATTCAGTCTTAAAGAAATCCCATCATTTGTAACACAGATGAGCCTGGAGGATACCACAGTAAGCTAAATAATCCAGTATAGAAAGACAATTACCATGCAATCTTGCTTGCATGTGGAATGTTAAAATGCACAGAAAGTGAACAAAGTGGCCAGAGAATTGGGGTGATGTCAAAAGTCATAAAATTCCAGTTAGACTAGAGGAAAAGGTTCAACAGATTCATTCTATAGTGCTGTGACTATATTTGGTAACAATGTATCATATACTTGAAACTTGCCAAGAGCAGATTTTAATAATTCTCACAAAAGCATGTGAATCAACATACACGTTAACTAGTGTGTACCCATGGCTCCTGTAAATAACTTCTTATCTACAGTCCTGTAAACAATCCTAGTTAAACTTATGCAGTCTTAGCTCTTCACCCTGAGGCAGGAGGACAGCAAGTTCAAGGCCCTAATGTGGATATATATCAAAACAGCATCTCTTACACCAGAAATATATTTTTCTGTGTTATTTTGTGACATAGTCTCACTATATAGCAAAGTCTGGCAATGAACTCTCAATTCTCCTGTCTTAGCCTCCCAAGTGGTAGGATAATGTGAACTACTACATCTGGTTTAAGACTTTTACATGTCTATTAAGTATTGGTGTCTGACAGAGGGTGACTAACACAGAGAGCCACAACTGGCCAATGTGTAGAGAGTAAGACTGGAGTGCCTATCCCTGGATAGGATACCTATATAAAACCTCACCTATCCAGGGCTCAGGGACCATTGTGGAAGAGGGGATGGAAAGGCTTCTGGGAACTTGCTCAATTGAACTTACAGCAATGCTGACAGCATGCATAAGACCCATGCAAACTCAATCTGACAAAAAACCAGCATAGGAACTGGGGAAATGGGCAAGAAGTCCCAACCTTAACTGAGGAACTATTGGCATCTGGTCACTGCTGCATGCGAGAATGTGTTGGTCATCTTTAGGGGGGTGAAACTAAATTGGCTGACCAGGCTTCAGTGGATCAACTCACACTCAGGGTCATCTGAGGACACAAACCTGACTCAATAGGCCTTAACATATATATGACAGAATGCATGAACTCTGGTCGGGGCTATGGAGGGTTCCGATAGGAGAGGCAGGTCTAGATATGATTAAGATGTATTGTACGAAATGTACAAAATTCAATATATATTGAAAAAAATATTGGTGGCTGGCCTTCACATCAGGGATTCTGTTTTAATTTTTCTGGGGGTTGCAGCCTGGTTAACTGGATTTTCAAAACTCCAAGATTTCCATTATGAAGTAGGGGCTGAACACTACAAAATCTACTTTACCAATATGTGTGGCAGAGACTAGATAATGAATTTCCTTTTTCTTTTAAAGTATTTAATTGGCAAGTTGGGGGTGGTGATGTGCACCTGCACTCCAAGTACTTGAGAGTTGAGTCTGGAAGTTTGAAGGCTGCCTGGGGTTACATCATAAGACCCTGCATCAAAAATTAAGGAAATCTCTGAAAGTTTGTACTCAAGGTATACATTGTGGTGATTTGATGTGTCTTGTGCATCAATGACCTCAAATGAACATTTGTTACCACCATGCCGTATGTTAGAGTCCTAAAACTTCTTGTTTTTATAACTAGAAATTTGTTCCAATATTACCTCTTCTATCCCACCTCAGGGGGCCTGGAAACTACTGTCCTCTCTGAGTTTAGCTTTTAAGTTTTCACTGTGTTCACTGCATAACTACAGATACAAGCCAAGTTATGAAAACAAATGTTCAACATGAAAAAAACTGGAGTTCCCAACCCTAAATGGAATAGGTATATCACGTCATCTCCTTCCAAGGTTCAGGGGTCATTGTGGAAGGGGCGGATAGATTATAAGCTAGAGGTGGGAGATGAAGAAAACTGCTGTCTGGACACCACAGAGTAGTTGCATATATGAACCTACAGAATTTATGACAGCATGCACAACACCTGTGCAAACCCAAGCCAGACAGGCCCAGCATGGTTGAGAGAAGTGGACAGGAAATCCCTGCTCCATGTGAGGCTCTATTGGCAATCAACAGGCACTGGGAGAGGGAGAATCAATTTTCCTTACTGGTGTGATGCCTGGTATGTTGACCAGACTCCAAGGAACATACCCACAATGAAGAGCGCTTGGGAAACAGATTAGACTATAGGCCTTTTAAAAAAGAGAGACCATGAAGTCAGGGGAGAAGGTAGTAGGGTCAGGGTTAATTAAGAGGGGGCAGGGGTCTGAATGTGATAAAAATGCATTATATGAAATTATAGAATAAAAAGTATTTTAAAATACCTCATGTTAAACTTAAAAAAACAACTCAAGTGCCATCAACAGGTGTGAGTAATGAAAATGTGGCATATTCCTATAATGGAATAGTACTCAGCCATAAAAAGAAAGGAATCCTGGTCATCTATGGTAACGTAAGTGAACCTGGTGGACATTATGTTGAGTGAAATCCAGGCACAGGAAAGTCACATGACCCTACTATGTAGAGTCTTAATTACCAAGAAACCCTCACAGGTGAGGGTTGCTATGAAGAACATTTGACTGATGCTCATTACTCGCTTGACATCCGTGAGACACAACTGAGCTGACTCCATTGATGTGGGTATATATTTTGATGTGACATCCAATTCCTATCTCTATGAACCTTGGGATTTGAGTGCTTCTGAGTGGCTTGAATGATCCCATTCTCAAAATTCTTCATAGGACACATTTGCATGCCCTGTGAATGTGTGAGTGCACATATGTAGGTGTTCATGTGTGAATGCACAAGTATGTACATGGATGTAGAGGCTAGGGGTTGATGTTGGGCGTCTTCCTCCATCATTCATCACCTTATTTTTTGAGACAGGGTCTCTCACTGAACCCAGATCCTCCATCCCTGCCTTCCAGTTCTGGAAGATGTACACCATGCCTCAGTTCTTTTACATTAGTGCTGGGGATCTCAACTCTGGTCCTCATACATTTGTTGCAAACATTCTTATCCACCGAACCATCTCCCTAAAAAAAAAATCCCTGCCTGGTGATAGTTTATAATTCTCAATTTGGGCTGGTGAGATAGTTCAGTGACGTTTGCTGCTAAGGCTGCCTACCTGGATTCAATTTCCAGGTCCCACATGGTGGAAGGAGAGAACCAATTCCCAAAAGTTGTCCTCTGATCCCACATGCACACTAAAATAAATCAGTGTAATAAAATACCCAACTGGCTTGACTGAAGTCCTGTTCCACAACTTCTACACATGACAGCTCATTTGAGGTGCTGGTTAAAATTCCAAAAGGCATAACTCACCACAGACTTTTCAAGTTACACAGGGGTTCCTTCAAAGCACCACACAGAAACTGCACACCAGAGATTCCCAAGCGATTCAGCCCTAGATCCAGCTGTGTGAGGCTCGGTGCTTGTTGGAGCAGCTTTGAGATGTGGTTGCAGCCATCGCTGGCGATGTTACAGGACCACAGCCTAGAAAACCAAGTTCATGGAGGGAAAAGCACTAAATGAACCTGTTAGTTTGCACATGCACGATGCATCCAAACCACTATCTCCTACCTCAAGCTGTGGGCTTCAGTCAAGCTTAGAGACATCAGAATCAATGGGGACATTAGAATGAAAGCAGCCTAAGGAACTCTTGGCAATTGATGGCTGCTGGGCAGCGGAGAGACAGTGTCTGGTAGGGATGGGATGCTTGGTGGGTCCAGTCAATGGTTCCACACTGAAGGTCATTTGAGGACACAAATCAGACTCTATAGGCTGTATTATAGATACTATCCTGCCTAGCTTTATTTTCTTACATTAGTACTGGGCATCTGAACTTTAGTTCTGATACTTGTACTGGGAGCACTGGTATAGGAACACTGAGACATCTCCCTAAAAAAATCCCTG